AAAAAAAAAAAAAAAAAAAAAATGAGGGAGGAGAACTTTCATTCCACTGCTGAAGATTTTTCCCATATATATCCTTCTAAATGCAAATTGTGTGGCACATAGCTCCAGCAGATGCTATCTTACAACCAGAACATAAACAAGCTCTAAGATGAAGTGGATTCTGTGACCAGCAGAGTAGAAAAACAGAAAGAATTTGGGGCCTTGCTGTTATCTTTGAGCTGCTAAAACAACCAGCTCCTAAACCAGCCCTATACCAGTATTTCTGGCTCCGTGAGAGTAGACTTAGTGTATTAGTGAAGGTTTCTGTTGCACGCGGCCTCAGTCACCCTGATACACTCTTGGTTCCTTTCACTATAGTGTAAAAACTCACTTGATTTTCAAAGTATGAATCTTTCACCTCCTTAAAGACCACAAGTAAAATTCCTCTTCAGCTTTCTCAAAACTGAGTGCTCCTCAACCCTGTTATCTTGTCATCTTGAGTGCACCCTTCATCCCTTTCATCACTCATAATTCTTTTCTGAACCAACTCCAGATGCATATGGAGTTCCAGATCTGCACACATTACCTTCCACAATTATCTATATTGATCCCATAGCCAGACTTCAGTACCTACAGTGTTTGGCAATGATGTGACTGTGACGAAAATGGGAAAAATCAACATATCTATAAACATATCCCACTGAAATGTGAGTGCCTCATGGAAAAGTAGAGGAAGTCCAGTGACTGTTAAAAGCACTGTAATTACTGTGCTGTATTGTAAAAAGTCTATGGCAATGTCATGTGGCCATAACAGAATGGTGGACATTTGCAGGGTGACTGTCCAAAGAAAGAGGAACTCAGAGGCCAGGCGTGGCTCAGTGGCTGAGCGTCGACCTAGGATCCAGGCGATCGGGGTTCGATTCCTGGTCAGGGCACATGCCCGGGTTGAGGGCCCGATCAACGACTCTCTCATCATTGATGTTTCTATCTCTCTCCCTCTCCTCTCTCTGAAATCAATAAAGATATCTTTAAAATAAAATAAAAAAAGAGTTTATCTGTTTATTAGCGCTGTCCCTCATCCTGAGCACCCAGCACCTAGGGTGGACGGTGTCAGTCCAGGCACCTTGGACCACTCGATATCCTTTGAATGTCCTAAGATCATTCCTTAGGGCCTTTGCATCTTCCTCCATCTGCCCAGATCTTCCCATAGTTGGTTCCTCTCAATCAAATCCCATATCACTGTCACCCCAGGGAAGGCTTTCCTGACTTACCACCTACCAAACCTTTTTCTCATTGTGTCACCCCATTATCTTGACTTCTTACTGAAGGGGCACAGAATTTGCCAGCCAAAATGTGCCCTTTTGACATAAAGTTTATTTTGAGCTATTCTGAAGAAACAGGAGACACTCTGAAAACTGAGCAGGTTACCTTTTATAGGGGACATTTCCACTTATAAGGTAAATATTCATCCGTAAGTGTCTCCATTAAGGATGTCAGGTGTTGGTAAATCATAAGAAAGTCTTGGCAACGGAGAAGGCACCTCCTTAAATCTGCATGACAACCTTACCCTTGTTTTCTGGGCTTTTTAAAATGGTATCTCTTAACTGGCTCCCCCACCCCACAAAGATGGCATTTAAGGTGGAGGCTTGGGCCATTTCAGGGAGCACTCAGTTTCCTGAGTATCTCCCAGATGTACTGGAGATATGCATGTTGTTAAACTTGCGTTTGTTTACCTCTCATTAATCAGTTTTTATTAAGGAGGGTCTCACCAACAGAACCTGGAAGGATAGAGGACAAATTATTATTCTTCCCCTACATTACCATTAGAAATTTTCTCATTTATGTGTGAACTTGTTTACAGTCTCTCTTCATACCACTTTCTCCATCTGAAAGTCTTTTTTGTACATTTGTTTGTTGTCTCTTTCCCTATCCCTCAAATTTAAGCTCTGGAAGCAGAAACCTTGCTTACCTTCCCCTGAATGTTTCCTCCACAACTAGAAAAGTGTGTGGAACAAAGGAACTGGCTGATTAAATGAGAACTCCAGGGCCTGGGCAGCCCCTCGTTTCCAACAGTGTCGTCGGCCCTCTCCTTCTCTTTCTCTCTCCTCTCCTTCCTTCCTGGGTTGGTTCTTTTCTATTATAAATGGGCTCTGCTGCACTGGCCGGTGTGCTCCACGGTTAGAGCATCAGCCAGCCCACTGAAGGATCAATTCCCAGTGAAGGGCACAAGGGCACACACCTGGGTTGCAGGTTCCATCCTTGGCTCTGTCGGAGTGCATGGGGGAGGCAACCAACTGATGTCTCTCTCACATCAATGTTTCTCCTTTTCTCTTTCTCTGTTTCTCTCTTTCTCCCCCCCCACCCCT